TCCTCCCGTCTCCAATGGGGGTGCAGGGCCCAAGCACTTGGGCCATCCTCCACTGCACTCCCGGGCCACAGCAGAGCTGGCCTAGAAGAGGGGCAACCGGGACAGAATCCGGCACCCCAACAGGGACTAGAACCCGGGGTGTTGGTGCTGCAGGCAGAGGATTAGCCAAGTAAGCTGTGGCACTGGTCGAGACTTTTCTTTTATTACAAAATGTTTCAGAGTTACTGTTTTTCTCTAAGAATTCATTACTGTCTTCACAATGAGAAGAAAATAATACTCGTCATCATCACACTGTCCTTAAAGTGGTTAAGTTTTCTGGTAGACTGTAAACAAAATTGCATCAGTGTAAATTTGTTTGAATTGGCCTGCTCCACTTGGGTTATTTCTACTCATAAGCATAGGATCAGGAGACTTTTGAGTTCATACTTTGAATGCAAGAATGATGTATTGTGTTAAGTAGGCAATCTATTATGACAAAATAAAATGAAAAAATGGGCCAAGAATTATTTTAATAGTTTCTAAAATTCCATCATGATGGCAATTCCACAAATGCATTTCAGAATAGTCTACTGAAGAATATTAAAAAAAAAGAACACTGGAATGATCATTAGTGAACAGAATACAGCTATCTGATTATTCTGCATCCATTTCAAATTTTGTTTTGTCAATACTATGTGATTGAAACTGTAGAAATGAGCTATTGGCATGACACCTGCAAGTCTCCTGCATGTGTGACTGCAGACTGAAAAAGTCAAGCAGAGAGAGGCAGAGAGACAGAGATCTCCAATCAGCTGATTCACTCCCCATATGGCAGGAGGAAGCCAGGTGTCAGAAACTCAATCTGGGTCTCCCATGTGAGTGACAACATCACCTGTTAACATCCAGGGTGTGCATTAGCAGAAAGCCGGGATCAGGAGCAGAGCCAAAACTTAAATATAGGCACTTTGACATGGGTTGTAGACAACCCACCATAACAGCTAGACCCAAAATCCATATTCTAATATAATTTAAGAATCATTTTTTGCATATGCATGCAAACATAAATTCATAAAACAAGAACCTCAGGTAGCCATAAACTACTTAGATTTTTTTTAAAAAGTATGTAATATGTAGAAAAATTCATTACATGACTTAACAAAGTTAGTACAACATATGGAGAAGATTTGGGTCCAGTTCCTACAGTCAGGAAATCCTCCTCCTTGGCCATAAATCAATTTTTTATTAATTAAACACCTGCAAATCAGCCTTTATGTACTATACCTACTCATGACACATCAAGGATATCTATGTTTCTCTGACTCAAAATATATGGTAAACAGGTAATAAGCTAGTCAAAATATTTTAAGACTTTTATTTATTCCAAAGAATAGCAGAGAAAACAGAAAGACAGGGGGAGGGGGAGGGGGAGTGGATGGTGGGGAGAGAGGGAGAGAGAAGAGGAGAGTGGGAGAGAAGGGGAGAAGGGGAGAGGGGGAGAGAGGGGGAGAGGGAGAGAGGGGGAGAGGGGGATAGAAGGGGAGAGGGGCAGAGGGGGATAGAAGGGGAGAGGGGCAGAGGGGGAGGTATCTTCCATTAGTGGTTCGCTCCCCAAATGATCAAAACATCCAGGACCAGGACAAATCAAGGAGCCAGAAACTATTGGGTTCTCCAACATAAATGGCAAGGACCCAAATACCTGAGCCACCCTCTGCTGCTTTCCCCAGCATGTTAGTGGGATGCTGGATCACAAGTATAACTTACTGTGCCACAACATCTGCCCCTAAACTAGTCAAAATTAGCAGCACAGGCAAGGGCCCGGCTCCATGGCTCCCTTGGCTAATCCTCCGCCTGCGGCGCCAGCATTCCATATGGGCACCGGATTCTGTCCCTGTTGCTCCTATTCCAGGCCAGCTCTCTGCTGTGGCCTGGGAAGACAGTGGAGGATGGCCCAAGTGCTTGGACCCCTGCACCTACGTGGGAGACCAGGAAGAAGCACCTGGCTCCTGGCTTCGAATCAGCATAGCTCCGGCTATTGCAGCCATTTGGGGAGTGAACCAACAGAAGGAAGACCTTTCTCTCTGTTTCTCTCTCTGTTTGTTGCTCTGTAAAATAAATAAATACAAATCTTAAAAAAAACAGAAGCATAGACAATCAAAACCAAAATTGACAAGTGTGGTTACATCAAATTGAGAAGCTTCTGTATTGCCAAAGAAACACTCAGGGAAGTGAAGAGGCAACCAACGGAATATGAGAGATCATTTGCAAACTATGCAACTGAAAAAGGATTAATCTCCAGAATATGTCAAGAACTCAAGAAACTCAACAACAACAAAAACAACTTAGTTAAGAGATGGGCAAAGGACTTCAACAGGCATTTTATTTTTTATTTACAGGCAGAGTTAGACAGTGAGAGAGATAGAGAAAAGTCTTCCTTCTGTTGGTTCATCCTCCAAATGGCCACTACAGCCGGCGCGCTGCAACGATCCGAAGCCAGGAGCCAGGTGCTTCCTCCTGGCCTCCCATGCAGGTGCTGGGCCCAAGCACTTGGGCCATCCTCCCTGCCCTCCCGGGCCACAGCAGAGAGCTGGACTGGAAGAGGAGCAACTGGAACTAGAATCTGGCACCCATGTGGGATGCCAGCGCCGCAGGTAGAGGATTAACCAAGTGAGCCAGGGCGCCGGCCCTCATCAGGCGTTTTTCAAAAGAGGAAATTCAGATGGCCAACAGACACATGAAAACATGCTCAGGATCACTAGCCACCAGGGAAATGCAAATCAAAACCACAATAAGGTTTCACTTCATCCCCATTAGAATGGCTTTCATAAAGAAATCAACAAACAACAAATGCTGACAAGCATGTGGGGGAAAAGGTACCCTACTCCACTGTTGGTGGGAATGTAAACTGGTAAAGCCACGGTGGAAGACAGTATGGAGACACCTCAGAAATCTGAATATAGACCTACCATATGACTCAGCCACTCCACTCCTTGGAATTACCCAAGGGAAATGAAATCACCATGCCAAAGAGTTATCTGTACTCCATGTTTACTGCAGCTCAATTCACAATAGCTAAGACATTGCATCAACTGAAATGTCTATCAGTTAAAGACTGGATGAAGAAATTATGGGATATGTACACCATGGAATATTGCACAGTGCTCAAAAAATGAAATCCTGTCATTTGCAATAGAATGGATGCAACTAGAAAGCATTATACTTAGTGAAACAAGCCATTCCCAAAAGGATGAATAGCGTAAGTTCTCCCTGATCTGTGATAATTAATAGAACATCTAAAAGGTAATCTATAGAAGTGAAATTGACACTTTGAGATGCAATGATTTTGAATAGCCCTTTTTAACTGTTGAGGAACAGTTTTTTTATTATACTATTTGTTGAACTCTTAGTATATTAATCTTATGTGTATAAAGTTAACTGAAAATAGATGTTAGTAAAAAATAAGAATGCAAATAGGAGAGGGAAGAGAAAGCATGGGAGTGTGGGTGGGAAGGCGGGTTTGGTGGGAAGAAATACTGTGTTCCTAAAATTGTATTTATGAAATGCATCAAGTTTGTAAACCTTAAATAAATGGTTCCTGGTTAAAAAAAAAATAAAAAAGAAAAGAAAAATCACTCTTACTGGAGTGTTGCAAGTGGATTAATACTCTCCCTTTCCCTACCTGCCCAAGTAAAGGAACCAACTGCAGTAATTCAGGAAGGACAAGATGAAAAGAACAAGAAAAATTTCTTTTTTTTTCTTTTTCTTTTTTTTTTTTACAGGCAGAGTGGACAGTGAGAGAGAGAGATAGAGAGAAAGGTCTTCCTTTGCCGTTGGTTCACCCTCCAATGGCCGCCGCGGCCGGCGCGCTGCGGCCGGCGCACGGCGCTGATCCGATGGCAGGAGCCAGGAGCCAGGTGCTTCTCCTGGTCTCCCATGGGGTGCAGGGCCCAAGCACTTGGGCCATCCTCCACTGCACTCCCTGGCCACAGCAGAGGGTTGGCCTGGAAGAGGGGCAACAGGGACAGAATCCGGCGCCCCGACCAGGACTAGAACCCGGTATGCCGGCGCCGCTAGGTGGAGGATTAGCCTAGTGAGCTGCGGTGCCGGCCTGAAAAATTTCTATGATAGCTCCACTTGCAATGAAATCAGATCAAAGCCTTTAGTCTGAATCCCGAGCAACAGAAAACGCACACACCAGCCTGGAAACACTCCCCCAGCCTTCTTGTCTCTCATGGCTCTCCTCTAGCACCTCTGATCACGCTGTCTCCTGGACATCTGCTCTCTACTGAAAGCCACCTCCTAAGGCCTAGCTCTCAAGTTTCCTCTCCATGCTGTTTTCCTTGCCTCTGGCCTCCCAGTACACTGCAAGTTTGCTTTAGTATATACCAGTGCCTTATTAGTTGTTACTATGCTCCTGATAACACAGGCATGTTCTTTCACAGATACCAGTCTGGGTAATTTTTCTGTCTTCCCATTATATCCAGCTTACAGTTTGAACACTCAGAAAGCATTTCAATGCACAGAATACCCGAGGCTGGCATTACTGTTATCTGGGGAATCTTTGGGGTATCATTTAGATATCAGAATTGTCTGTTGCTTCACAAAATAAATGGGTAAGGAGCATAAAGCATCCTACGGGTTGAACCCCTCTCAGTACGGAAAGTAGGTGCTGTAGACATCTGAGGCATTCTTGTCAAAATCCCGTCTGCTTGATTCTCACACACGTGGGGCCACGATTCAGAGAAGTGTCCTAAGTCACTGCTAAGAGTTAGCACCGTGTGAATGAACATGGGGCAGGTGAGAAACACGTTTTCTTTGAAAGACTCCTCAAAAAGGCTGCTCTGGGGCCCACAGAAATGTGAAGCCCTGCAGTCAGCTTGGAATTTTTTTTTGACAGGCAGAGTTAGTGGCTTGGACTCTTACCCAAGTCACCTTTTCCCCCAACCTCCAACAAGTGTCGCACTCTGCGACTTCCTGCCCGTGTGTGCTTTCTGCAATGACTCTGTTCCCACCCCGTTCCTCACCTGGATCCATGGCCACCTGTCATTTTCTGCAGCTGTCCAGGCGTTTATCAGCCCCTTCTTGTTAAGACGCGCATAGTAGGGATACCATTTCTGAAGCCCGAAAAGGGCCCGGTGAGTAGACGAGGCTGTAATTTGCTGATTTGATATGATTCCACCTTCGATTCCCAATGGGCCCGAGCATTCTGTGAACAGAGCAGGAACACACGTGAGTGGGTTGGGAGAGACACACACGCGAAACATGGGATGTTGGCGCAGTACACTGGGAGGCGTGCCGGAGATCTGGCCCGAGGCATTTCTTAAGTGTCTGGGGATTGTACCAGTGAGCCGTTCCCTTCTGTGTTAAGGTTCTGCCGGATGTGCCACCATCGTTTGCTTGTTGATCATGTCAACAAAAGCATGAAGCTCTTAGCAGGACTGCCTCTTCTCAATTTAAAAGATCTCTACTAGGTTACAGTTAGACAGAGGTAAGAAGTTCTGGGGTGCTATTGCACATTAGGTGACTATTAGAATGTTGGTATAATGTATATTTCTCTACAAAGATAGGAAAAAAACTTCCAGACAGGATTTTGGGTTTTCACCATAAAGAAATGTTAAAGGTTGGAGGAGTTACATATATTTATACTGACTGGACATTACACAACGTACACACAGATCTAACTATCACATGATACTTCACAAGTATGTAGAATTCTATGTCTGCCAGAATACTGTTTATCAAAAGCAATCAAATCGTTTTTAAAAACCTATCTCGGAGCTGGTGTTGTGGCATAGCAGGAAAGCTGCTGCTGTGGTGCCAGCGTCTCATATGGACAATGGTTCACGTCCTGGCTGCTCCACTTCCAATCCAGATCCCTGACAATGTGCCTGGGAAAGCAGCAACGGATGGCCCAAGAGCTGGGGCCCCTGCACCCTTGTGGATGATGCTGAAGAAGCTCCTGGCTCCTGGCTTTGGACTTTTGGGCTGGCTCTAGCCACTGCAGCCAATTGGGGAGTGAACCAGAAGAAGGAAGATCTGTCTCCCTTCTTTTTGTAACTCTGCCTTTCAAATAATAAACCAATCATAAACAAAAAACATCTATATCATATCGTGTATTCCCAGAAATTAGCATGTCTTGTAAATCATAAAATGTCAATAAACATCTGTTGATTCCTTCTCTCTTTTTCTTGACTATCATGCATCCGAGTTTTCAGTAAAAATCATTTTTGTACTGATTTGGCAACTTTTACCACCTTAAACTTCTAAGCTTTAATTGGTGTAAGCACCATCAGTTATGTTTCCATAAAAGAGGACAATGTATAAATCTGTCAACACTTACAATTATCGAATTGTGATATGTTACAAATTGTGGAACATGAAGAGGTCAGATAAACTCTGAAACCCCATGCAGTAAATCAAGATATTAAAATATTTATCTAGTATTTGTAGTGCAAAATTCACAATTCTACAGGATAGACTTGGAAACAAACTTTCCTAACAAAAATCGTAAATAACAATATGAAGTATCATATTCTCAAAAGCTATGTCTTGAAATACCAAATGTATTTAGTTTTTAAAATTAGGAAAAATTTTATCTATACATCATAGTTATAGTTATGCAAATATTTGAATTTATTGATATTTTATAAGATTTTGTCAGCACATTTAAGTTCAGTTTTTAAAATTCAGAGTAAGATTATGATATAATGAAACATTTGATTTTCTTAATTTATACATTATATTCAACTTCTTATAAATTTGAAATTGTATAACTATGAAAACCCTGTTAATTTAACACAACACTCTATCTGAATTCCTGAATAAATGAGGCTATTGTCCATTTTAAGTTCAGCATATGTAAGTCACCTTGATTTTGAATGCCATCAATCACATTTTAATTCCCAATTACTATTTGTAATCATTCATTTCCAGTAACTAAATAGGAGTTGGAAAACTTGGAGGCAAGAATTCTGCAGCTGCATTACAATGCTGTGGAAAATTATGAAGGCGTTTCTTTTTGGTTCCATCCTTTTTGCTGTGTTTCTATTCCATGCTCAGAGAGTTAGTACCTCCTGACACATGACAAACATCTCTCCAATAGCTTTAATACCTGTACACACTGATTATACAGAAGATGCTAATATAAAGATAAGTAATCACCATAAGCAGACTTTTTTAGTAAAGGTGACATTAATACCCCAAACACTGCACCTCTACAATTGACAAAAAAAAATCACTCATGTTAAATCTAAGTAACAAGGTCTTTTAAAACATATAATTAGCACTGCTAACGCTTTAGGAGGGTACACTCCATCACTTGGAAGTCATTAAATTAAGAAGCCATTCGTTGCGGTATCAGGAGCTGCTGATGAAACGCTGGTTGTCACAGTCCACAATGTTGACAACCTTAAATGTGGATTCTCTGGATCCTTGTTTTGCCTTCTGTTTCAAAGGTCCTGATCTGAACAGACTCCATGAAAGTAGTAAGCAACGTTCCCTATGGCATTCTGTTTGATGTTAAGCACTGTGGGAGCGTGGCTTTTGAAGAATATTGCCATTAAAGGACCCTCAAGAGCAATTCTCCTTGATTTGTGCAACACTGAGATGGAAAAAAATGCAGCAGGCAGGGCGGTCATTTACTGCAGGCCACTAAGTAGACTGGCAGAGCTGGAGCGCCAGCCTTGACTAGTCAAGCTGCACGACACCCTGGGAAACAGCTCTACACCACCTCATCATGTGTTTCTAAAGACACTGTGCTGACCTGCACATCCCCAATGAAAATACAATCATTGTAAAAGAGAAAGCACATCTCAGGCCACACTATTCAGCCAGTACTTGGAGCAAACTGTTCATCCATAACCTTCCTGTATTAGCTAACCTATCAGCAAGCACACCGGTCTCAACTATTCCATTATCATATAAGGCAAATACCAATGAGTGATTTAGAAAATATATTTGCATAGTTTACCACAAGGATCTGATTTTTTGTCATAATCTCAGTCATTCATATTCATTCTTAGAGTTTTTTAACTTTTTAAAAATTTTGACAGGTAGAGTTACAGACAATGAGAGAGAGAGAGAGAGAGAGAGAGAGAGAGAGAGAGAGAAAGTAAGTCTTTCTTCCATTGGTTCACCCCCCAAATGGCCGCTATGGCTGGTGCTATGCTGATCTGAAGCCAGGAGCCAGGTGCTTCCTCCTGTGTCACTCCCCGTCTTCGTGGAGGAACGACACAGGACCCTGCGCTGTTCTTTCGTCTGCTCGGCCCTCCCCGGGTTTGCTGCTGGTTCTTCCCGGGTTGGCTACTGTCCCTTCCACCTCCGTGGAAGGGCGGTTCCCCCTGGCCACTTTCCCCACTTCCGCAGGGGAGCGGCACACCGCCGGCCAGCTCTCTCGGGGGCTGCACAGGTGTTCCTTCAGCTAGATGTTCCCCTTAGATGTTCCCCTTAGATGTTCCTGGTGCATGCCGTCTCTCTCCTCCTTTATAGTCCTCTTCTGCCAATCCCAACTCGGCTGCCCACACGCCGAGTACGCTGCTCTCCTCCAATCAGGAGCAAGTCCTACAGTTTATTGGCTGAACTGGAGGCAGCTGTGTAGAAGCTGTTTTCTTCTCTCCCAGCGCCATATTGTGGGAGAGCAGATGCATAGAATAAGTCTTAATTCCAGTAACTTAGTCTAGTCCGGGTTGCTCCCCACACTCCTGGTCTCCCACGCGGGTGCAGGGCCCAAGCACTTGGGCCATCCTCCACTGCCCTCCCGGGCCACAGCAGAGAGCTGGACTGGAAGAGGAGCAACCAGGACTAGAACCCAGTACCCATATAGGATGCCGGCACCGCAATGAGCCACAGTGCCAGCCCAAGAAATCTTTCAAAAATTATCTGGATCTGTACAGTGTACAAAGTATTTACAAAAGTTAGAGCTATTCCTTGCAGTGAGCTTTTCTTTTGACAGTCTTCAATTCCACTTTTTTTTTTAAGGAAAAAAATTTAACAACATTCACATATGAACTCTGCCACTTGCATATACAGGCAGAAAAAAATCCACCAGAGGAAACATGACAGTGGCAAGGGTTCTTGAATGAAGTATGAGCCTGTGAAGTTTCCAGGTCCTGGATTTCCCTCCAGGTCTCCCATGTGGGCAGCAGGGACCCACACACTTGGCCATCTTCCACTGCTTCTCCCAGGCCACCAGAAGGCGAGCTGGATTGGAAGAAGAGCAGCCGGGACACGAACCGGCAACATCACGGGCAATGGCCCCTACCCACTATGCCACAATGCGAGCCCTAATCAATAAGACTCTTAGAAAGATAATACAGCGATATGCATTGCTATCACTATCACTAATGGAAAGGAGAGGTATGCAACAGTAACTGATGAGACAATTAATATTGGGTGAGAACCCTGAAGCTTGGAAAGCCCGTCCACATGAATCTCCTCATGGCATCTTCAAAATCATACTTGCACTTCAAGGAAAGGGAGGTATTGCACCGATTTCATCAGTGAGGAAACTTGTGAGAGGGAAATTAAAATTGTAAAGTCCGAGTCTGGGATTCAGAGGGAAAAATGCAGTAATTCTTCAAAGACAGACTCTGATCTCTCTCTTGTGCTGTGACTTCACTTGGGGCATGTGTACTACACCCACAGGGAAGATAACAGGAGGGTGAATACGGAGGGAACATGCAGAAGGCATGAGGGTTGCTACAGAGCTTCCACAAGGTGTAAACCATTCAAGCAACAGGTCCAGTACGGCAGGGAGCCACCCAAGTAAACATCGAGGGTCTACGATGATCCGTGTCCCCGGAGGTGTCCGGAAACCAGCCTGATACCATCACTGGCATCCAGGCTGCATGTCTGATATGGATGGGCTCATTCAACGCTGACCAGTTTACTTATCTCTTATTTTGTGCTCAGTAATTCCTCAAGTCTATCCATTCACTTATTCTCCATTCATTTAATTCAGTATGAAAAACACTATTTTCCGAAATCTTTGCCCATAGGAAGTGCTTTTCTAGACAGTGTGTTCTAAGTATGAGAAGGTCCTCTGTCCCAGTGAGGAGAGAAATGACAAACACACACCGTAAGTAAGCAAGACGACACCGTGAGGTGGCAAGTGCCCTGAGGAATAAGAGTGATGAATCCCGTGAGGATGCATCAAAAGATCACAGATGCCCTTTTGGACACGTGACCCGGAAGTCCATCCCTGAATGG